GTTCCCGCTCTCAGGGAACCGAGGTTAAATAGTAAACCGGAGACGTTCCCTCTCGAGCTTTCACGAGACATCACGGAGACATTTCTCCGTTATGGGAACAATATTCAATCCCGCCATGAGAGAGGCTACAAGCAGCCTGTACAAGTCACATACTCAGCGAAGATAGAACACACAATTCCCACAACCAATAGCGACGCTTGCAAGGCGGGCTCGCAGCTGATATAGGTGGAGACAAGCCAATGTGCGTCTAAAGCCCAGGTATATGAAATGTGCATATCTGGTCAGTGATGATAACGTATGCTGCGCTCAGAAACAGGGCAGAAGCAACAACAACCACAGTAATGTGAGGGGGGGCTGCACAGAGATAACGGTGTTAAGCAGCAGTATAACACATAAGATGATGATGGTACACCAATCGAATTAGACATTGAATAGCAGGAGCTGCACTGAGTACAGGGACCAGCTGGCTGCAAAGCATATATCCTGAATAGACATACCTCTCGACCACGACCAGGAGGAGGCGATAGCTCTTGTTGAGTGGGCCCTAATGTGCAAAGGATATTCCAAACCTCGACTCATATAACAGCCATGTTACGTCCACAATCCAGTGGGAAAGCCTCCTTTTTGACATGGCCAGGCCCTTTGCACAACCACCGTAGCACACGAAAAGCTGGTCAGATTGCCTAAAGCTGGCCGAACGGTCAATGAAAATCCTCAAAGGATTTGAGGATTTGTGACGGGGCACACTGAAATCTGAGCGTCCGCATCACGCGAGGTCGGTGACTGAGAAGACAGGGCAGACAGCAAAACAGTCTGCGCTCTGAAGGGGGTAGATAGTGATTTAGGCACGTAGCTCGGTCTCGGTCGGAGAGTGACGCTGCAGTCACTGGGTCCGAAGCGAATACAATCGATGTCCAGAGAAAACGCATGTAAATCCCCTATGCGCTTATCCGAAGCGAGGGCAAGAAGAAGTGCAGTTTGAGAGATAGCTCCTTCATAGCAATGGATACTAAAGGCTCGAATGGTGGTTGTGAAAGAGCTCTTAACACCACCTCTAGGTCCCAGGGCAAAACTGAAGGCGGACGCGGGGAATGCAACCTCCTCGCCCCCTTAAGAACACTCACCACCAGCGCGTGCTTACTGATCGATTGCCCGCCCAGTGTGGAACGAAACGAGGCAATAGCGGCCAGTGTTGATGGTAGACATCCACTATCAAGCCTGTACTGTAGAAAACGCAGAACATCCGACACGGAGCAAGCAGCCGGGTCGATATGAACATCACGGCACCACAAACACTCCCCATTTTAGAGCATAGAAATGTCTCGTGGAGGGCGCCCTCGCCTCCGAGAGCGTATCAAGCACACGAGAATGCAGGGCAGTCAGCTACTCTGATATCCCCGAAGCAGCCACACATGATGGCTCAATAACTCTGGGTTATTGGGTTGGGGTGCCACACCGAGCCGCTCGTTTGAGACTGCAGATCCTTCCTGATGGGGATCAGCCAGGGCGGCGCCATCAGCAGCTTTGTCAGGTCCGGGAACCAAGGCTGGTTCGGTCAGTTCGGGACGACAAGTGTCACCGAAGCCTCCTCCTCCCTGATCTTGCATATCACCAGCTGCATTATCTTGATCGGAGGAACGTATACGGCCTGGCTGCTGGCCAGTGCGATGTCAGAGCGTCCCCTTCCAGTGTGGAAGTGAGACAGGGAGAAGAACAGCGGGCAGTGC